CTCCCTTAAAGCTTGCAGAAAATTTTTTTTTTTTTGTGATTTCCTAGTTGATCTAATAAAATGTATAATTGCTGAACCAAGAGTACTAGATTTTTACTCATCTCAAGAGGTTTTTGGGGAATTCTTTGGGTTTTTTTTTTTTAACAAACATTAAATTAAAAATACATTATTATGGTTGCAAAGTTAAGCACTCAGATGTTGGAAAATGCCAGAATTGAACCTGTGGAAAGCTCTATTTGCTCCTCTTTGTGTGCATGGACGATGATCCAGTCTCTACTTACATGATTACATTCTGTTTTTCCTCTGGGATTTCTGCCTCTCACAGGGCACCAAATGGACAGTGCTCACTTCATGAGCACTATTCAATATCTTTTCTCTTTGTTTTTCAGTGCCCAGCCCCAAGTCTCAGTCACCACCCACCATTCACAGCCTGGCCTGAACAACGGGTTCTTCCTTTGCTCGTGGGCTTTTCTCTAGCGTTCATCACTCGAACATCCAGGTAACTCAGAAATATTACTGAATCATTCCCACTTCATGTGAAGATGCAGAACTGAGATTAAAGTCAGAAGTACCCACACATTTGGGGTGCCTACATGTGTGATGCCTTGGACCTGGTTTTATACAGTACTTAGCTCTACCTAGTAATTTTTGTGTACGGAGCACAACTCGTTATAGTTTCAGTTGTTATAAGGATAAGAACTACCACAGTTCAGAGCCTGGGGTCAAAAACAGGGTGCTCAAAAGGTGGGTATCAAACAAGTAACTTCCCTCTGAAAAGCTTAGTTTCAGTGACTTGCCAAACAACACACAGAAACACCATAACATAAGAAGGGGACAGAAACTGAACCTCCAGGACTGCTTTCAACTTGTCTAAACCATGAGACCCTCCTTTCCCTTCATGCAATCCTGTGCGTTGGTCACTACACACCAACCATGACTTCCAACAAGTTTCATAGTTTCATAGTTGATAGGGTCAGAAGGGACCTGAGTAGATCATCGAGTTCGACCCCCTGCCATGGCAGGAAAGATTACTGGGGTCAAACGACCCCAGCAAGGTGTACATCTAGCCTCCTCTTAAAGACCCCCAGGGTAGGAGCCAGATGAAGGGGGCCTGAAGAGAAGTCTCACTGCATTCCAATTCATCCCCAGCCCCACTTTATCCTGCAGGATCAATGAGGTAGGCACCCAATGAAAAGTGGTAAGCTCCCAGTTATTTAAAGATTTTGTCATAACGTGCACAAAAGGCTGAATTAAGGATGCACAGTCAACCTTAATTCTGGTGCATCCTAAACTTCTCTGTTTGACTTTGCCACTGTTATATTTGTTTAACCAAAATACATGTGCAATTTCCCAAAAGATTTTTTAAGCAAACCATAAAGAAACAGAAACAGAAACTTCATCTCCCATATGGCAGGCAAGGTTCTTTGGGTAGATGTGATATCTTTTATTAGACCAAATGAGTAGTTGGAAAAAAGTTCCTAGCAAGCTTTCAGGTGCAATCACCCTTCTTCAGGCATAGGAAGTCTCTGCTTGAAAAAGAGTGATTGCGCCCAAAAGCTTGCTAAGATTTTTTTTTCCAGCTACCCAGTTGGTCTAATAAAAGAGATCACATCTACCCAAAGGACCTTGCCTGCCAATGTCCTTAGACCAACATGGCTACAACCAAAAACCCAGCATCTCCCATATGGGTCATCTCTCTTGGCTGTGACCTTTAGAGCCATGGTGCAGACCTCTGCCACTTAAACTAATTGGGTCACAGATCTGTGAAGAGACACGCTGAGACTTCAGTGGCTGCCTCACCAGGCTCTCGAGTGAACACAGGTTCCTTCACCCCAGTTCCCAGCCACAGTTTCCCTCTTTCCTATGCCAGCCTACACCCAGACACCCTCTCCCAAATTAACCCCCATCCCTCTTCAAGTCCATCTCCTATCCCCTCTACATGGGAATGAGGCACCTCCTTCTTGCATGTTGCCAGAGCAGACTGGGAGCACAGGAGAAAGGGCTGTCCTGCCTAGTTCAGATGCTCAGCCCCAGACTTGACACAGCTGATAATGTGGTTGGAGGACACCCAATGCATGTGGCATCTTCAGGGTCATTTAGCAACTCAAGTCTCTACTAAATCCACACACACTGTGATGCTTCAAGTTTTATAATTTGGCTAAACTGGGGCAGATTTTCACAGCGACAATGCATGCACATCCCAGTCACAGAAGCCACCTGTCACAGAAAGGCTACAGCTTTGCAAATCAAAGGCATCCATGTTTATTTTCTCACATGAGCAGAGCAGCTTATTCCCCTCTAGCCTTGTGCTGAAACAGCTGGACCATTTTGGCTGAAATTAAAAAAGCAGCGCAAGGCAGGCATTTTGCATGGAAAATATCAGGCCAATCCGTTATAATTTAGCACAGGTGTTAGAAAGTGAAAGGAGGATCATACATGAGGAAGCACTGCACCCCCTTAATAATAGATGGTGCTAGCCAACCCACCTATAATAAAGCATGGCATATCATGTATAAAAAACCCGCAAGAAAATCAGAAGCGAAAAGCTTTCCATAAGCATTTTACAGTCACGGACAAAAGTCCACCTCCCTTCAGATGGATGCAACTGCCAACATTTGTGCCTGCAGCACATTCAAACAGCTGACCTCCTAAGTCTTCTGCCTCCTTTTCTACATCAGTTGGCTTCCACCTTGACTCTAGCCAACGTCCTGTTTCACAAATGGTCACTGCAGGAAACCGTCCAGGCAAAATGGTCCCCAAGACACACTCTCTCTCTCCATAGACTACATGCTGTATTCTTTCCCACTGCCCTTCCGGTTAAGTGGGTGCTGAAGGGATGGATGGTGGAGGCCCATCATGGCTGTGTGAGCAGCATCCTTAGAGCATAGCACATAAGGAAACCCGAATGGTTGAAAGCCAACAAGTCAGCATCGCGGTCGTCTCTAACACAAAATGGAATGGAAAGAGTCCCACCATGCTCCACAGTAAAATTATCATAGACTTGTAGAGAAGTAGGGCTGGAAGGGACCTGCAGAGGTCATCTAGTCCAACGTCCTGCTTGAGGCAGGATCATCCCTATCCAAACCATCCAATACAAATCCATAATCTAACCTCTTAATAAATCTACCATCAACCCTGACACAACACAAGACATAACACCCTAACCTGCCATAGGTAAAGCAGGAGAAACACAGCAGCCAATGCCCTGATTGGATAAAAAGTTAATATACGCTCAAAAGGTCCCAAGTACAGGCCTACACCCCCCCATTGAAGAGAAAGGCAACAATCTGATCATGGGGCAAATGACCCCAAATACGGTGATCTCATTGCAGGCTCCCCTGTGCTACTCACTTATCATTCAGTTGAGGCATAATGTAATGCTCCTGACCACCAGTTATCATTACAACTCCAATGAGCAGCGTAAACAAGTATGGGTCTTGCCCAAATGCCAATTTGTACCGTTATATTCTGCCCCCCTTAATCCCCTTCCCCCCTACAATTCAGCAGGCCACAAAATGTGTCACTTCATCACTGCTAGCACACTTGTGTGCACTGTCAGGCAGTGCGCATTGTTGTATCCCTCCTCCAGGAGCACAGCAATGAGAGGGCAAGCAGGGCACAAGTCCAAGGCCCTGCCTAAGGAAGCCCCAGAATAGAGCTTGGGGGCTCTTCGCCCTTCCATCCCCTGTTCCCTGCACACTTAGCACCTTCCCTACAGCAGCTCTGGCAGCAGGAAGGGTAGCGAAGCAGTGGCAGCACCTGCCTGAAGCCAGAGTAAAAGATGCAGGGTAGAAAAGGAGGGGAGGGGGCACACAGCACTGCCCTGGGTGCAGTCCTGGCCAGTTATGCCTCTGCCCTCCTCAGAGATGGCTGCATTGATGCCATGGCTTCTCTCTGCCATTGGTGCTGTGGAATCCCCTCTAGAAGAGAAACACAAGCCAATTGCCATTGTTGTATCCCAGCAGATGAGTGGTATGTGGGGCCGAGGATGAACAGGCTCTTCCCGCTTGCTCTCAGAGAGGCTGGCCAGCTTGCTGGTAAAAGAGGATACAAGAGGAATTGGCTTGATGTGCTCCAGAACAACTGGACTTCAGCAGAAAAGGAAATGGTATGTTTGCTTTTCCCTCAATTAAGCGGCAGCAAAGAGAGTCCCGCTATTAAAGTCATTTTTATTCAGCTAAATTAAGCTGGATGCCTCATTAATGACACTAACAAACAAGAGCCTCTGTAATTAAACCATACACTACACTGTTGCAATTGAGCCCAATGTGATGGCAGGGAGATGAGGCTGGTGGGGAGGAAGCCCCAGGCCCCTCCCTCCGCAATGAATCTCTCCCTTCTGCAGTTCCCTTTTATCTCAAGCCTGACACATTTATTTCTGCATGGGAGACGGTTTTAACACATTTTAATAACACGTTGCCAGCTCCAAAAAAACCGCTCCAAAGGCTTAGCACCACGGAGCTGTTGGGGAGTGAGCATGAGCAGTGCCAGGCATAAATTAGAGGTGAAATACGCACCCTTGACTGCATTTCCCAGCACCAGGTTTGCCAGTGGCATGGTGCACGACTTCTTTGATATTCAATCTGCTCGGCAGTACCCCAATATAGCTTGTACGTGGCTCTCCTCACCCACTCTCTTGACTAAACATGGACAACCGGGGGCAGGTGAAGGCAGTCACAGCAGACTTGGGGGTGGTAGCAGAAAACAGAGGGCACTGTTGAAGAGGGGAAGCCACAGAGAGCGGTTTCTCCTCCCGCCTACTTGCCACCAGGGACAGCCTTCATTTACAGATGGAGGGAAAAATAGGATATGAGAGGGAAAGGGTTATTGTCTCCACAAAAATGAAAAACAGGGAGACTGCCTGGGAAATCCACTTCACAGTCCTAAGTAAAGTATCCCCAACTTCAGCCAGACTCATGCCCCAGTGCAAACACGTGGGTGGGAGCAAACAAGGGAACGATAGGGAAGGAGAGTCCAGAGAGCCTGCCACTGCACAGGTCTTCGCTGCAGTGTGCGGTGGAAAGGTTTCCAAGCTAGCTCTAAATGAGCCAACTCAGGTGCCAGCAGCATCCTAGCCCCAGCAGTCCTCTGGAGCTCGGTGCAGGTTAATCGGCTGAGAAGTGGCCTGTGCTGAGCTCTGCTTAAAGCAAGCTCAGGCACTTCCGTGCTACCAGCTGTCTGCATTGTAGACACACCCGGTGTTTCATTTCTCAGGCAATTAAGCCTCTGATCGCACCAGGTGGCAGCTGGCTGAACGTAATGAAACTCGCAGATGCCACCGAGTCACAAGCTTCAGGTTGGCTCTCTGAAGTCCCCAGTGGCCAAAGGTGCCTGAGGTTCCAGATGAAGACACCAGCTATAGTGCCACAGAGCAAATGACTCACAAGTCCTCCTCAGCTCACCTCAAAGGAAAGTCTTCTTAAGACTGATGCCTGCTCACCCCACATCTCCATTTCCTTTACCTGGAATCCCTCCTGTGATCTAGACTTCAGTGGATATTTGGGCTCAGCCTGACAGGTCTTAGGGAGCTCTGTGCTGAAGACCCCTCAATCAGCCTAGCATCCTTCTTTTCACCACAGTAGATGAGCTGGAAGCTAGGGCTGACCCCAAGTAAGGCCTGATAACCTAGCATTGTCTTTCTTAGAATGACCCTCTATCCATCCCCTCCGGAGGCGCAGACACAGCCCACCAACGGCAGATAGGTCCAGGGCTGGTGTAAAACAGTATCTGCTCCCAAAAGGCACTCACCGAATAATTCACTGACCCAATATACATTCAGGGCATGAAGTATTTTCTATCAGATAGTAACATGGCCAACATTCACAAGATTTCACATAGCAATTGCCCCTCGTAAGCAGAGCAGGGAGCCTTCCTGTTCAGTGACCCACTCATCCTCACATCAAAAAAGGTCTACTTAGCCACTGGCCTCATCTCTGGATCGTGCTGGCTGCCAGCATAAACCCTCTGAACCAGCCTCCCCCTACTTCCCCTGGAAAGTTGCTCTACATCGTGTTCATCTCTATCAGACAAATGCAATGACCTCTACAGTGCAGCGTTACGTTCCCAAGTTCCTCCCCTCGGTGTCCCTTCTCTGCCCCTCCTCCCCTCTTTCGACTTCCTGCTTAGTAAGCAGCTTTGCTCATTAAGGGAAAATGTACTGTCCTCCCCTAACGAATGTGCTAAAATTACCCCAGCAAGTCCCAGCAGCAGCAACACAGGCCTTTACCCAGAATCAGGTTTTGCAAATATTAAACTAAATTGAAATCTCAGATAGCTCAGCACAAACCCCCAATAGGCCATAGCCGAGACAGAGCTGGCAAAAGCACCAGGCAATGCCAAGTGCATGAAAGCCTCACACCCCCTTGTTCAGACACAGGGAAAGTGGATGAGTTAGCAGAACAGGGCTCAGCATTAAATTGATGCTGAGTGTTTCATAGCCGCCAGCCATTCTCCCTCTTGTGCTCACTGCCTGGACTCTTAGAGGTGTCAGCGCAAGCAAACAAATAGCAGGGCTATGAAACCGCACAGACAGGCTACGTTCCTGGCTTCAGTCTGACTCCAGCCCCTGGATAGCGGCTGCCAAATTCCCAGCTCCTCCTCCCCAGACACTATGATGTGAAAAGGCTCAGAGCCCTGCTCCCTCTTTGTGTGTCCAGTGCAGATCACTCCCCTGTCCAATCTGTTGTGATGCGACTGCTAGGCCATGAGACACCAGACACGGGAACTGCATCACTTCATACAGGATCTCAATACTAAATCATCCACAGTCCCCAAAAGGTAGCTGCCCAGGACCTTAGCCAGCCACTCGCAACAGCAGAAGAAACTCCAGGATGGCAGGAAGCCTAGGAGGGAAACAAGAAATGTTGACTGCTAGCTTGATAGGGTCATTGCCCACTCTGACATACCACAGGATGCCCTTTCAGTCACAGGCGAGAGCATCCCCCGAGATGCATATGACCAGCCCAGACCCATGGCAAGGGAGAGGAACAAAGACAGCTCTGCAGCTGCCCTGACTCTGCCTTCACTGGCACCTAGGCTTCAACTCAGACTCCAGATGTTACTGAAAGAGCAGTGGGGGTGGAGAGCTTTTATTCATTATTGTAATGCAGTAGTATTGAGACAAAGCTCACAGTCGCAATGCAAGTCGTAGAAACATGGGGAGGAGGCACGAGGGTGTCTCCCCTGCCAGCACCACACAGGGTGACAGTACTGGCAACACACCCACAGCAACACAACTCTCAAGCTCAGCTCGCCCAGCTATTCCTCTCACTGCTCCTGCAACTAGACCAGGTGGATTGCTACTGCCTTCACCCCAGGGTTCCCCAAGCACCCTACAGGCCACAGACCCTTCATGATCTGGGATGCTCCTTTACACTCCAACCCCTTTCTTTTAGAGCATTTCCGAGTGATGTTTAGCTTTCCTGAGAGAGGTAATGAAGCCCCAATCTGTAGTGGTGTTCAAGGTTGCAGACCAGCATGCAAAATGGAGACAGGGGCCAGTCAGGAAGTTTAGGTCCAGTTTCTCTTGAGGACTGAGTGTTTTAGGTGCCAGGGTGTGGCTCGGGCCCCCCTCTCACACTTGGCCCCTGCTGTTGTGCTCTCTTCACACTGTTCTTCAAGGACATCTGCCTTCAGTCCTCTTAGTCGAGTGTTTAAAGCTGGCTCAGCCTGCCGTCACATTTCCTCAGCCCCTCCAGAGTTCAGCCCCACACCACTGTGAAACCACAACAGGTTTTGGGCAACTAAAACCAGTCGGTGCTGGGCAAAGCTCTTCTCTCTACTTTCCTCCTGCAACTGAGAGCATGCCTCACCAAAGCCCTTCCCCCACCCCTTTCTTGTGCTCTCCTTCCCCTCCTCAGCCCACACGGTGGTAATTTTAGATCCATCAAACCTGGAGTATAACTGCACGGCGGGCTTTTTCTTGCTTCGCTGCACAGAAATAATATTTGAGATTTGTGCCGATTGAGGGCAGGGGGTGCCAGCTGACAACTCCAGCGAAGGGCTGGGTTTATTGCGCCTGTTTGCTTTAAATTGCATGTTTCCCCAAGATGGGATCAGGGAGTGAATGGAGAAGACCTCCCACACACAGGTTTCCAGCAGGCCCAAAGTGAGCCAGACCAATATAGGACAAATGCAATCCCTGCCACTGAGAATACAGGAGACTTGTATAGACAGGGTATAGGGAGAGGACGAAAGAGCAGGGTGGCTCTTAACTCCCAAAGAGCCCCTGGTGAAGCCACAACCCAAACCACATTCAAAGACCTATGCAATGCCACCCACTGGCCCCCAAGATGCTTAACCACGGCTTCTAATTACCACATCCATAGCCACAGCAAGATGCAAATTGATTAGTAAATAATCTTGTTGGAGCAATAACCAGGCACTAGATAGGAACCTCCTTTCACAGCTAGACATCAGTAAGGGGAAGGTTAGGAGTTTTAAACAATCAGCCCACAGCTGTCATTATTAGAGGTCCCTATTCAACACAACGAGCATGAAGCAGCTGGCTTCACCCAGTCCTTGAGATGTTTTCCCTCCTCTGAGCAGTGCTCAATGCCCTCAGCCCAGTTTGTTAGCCGGAGTTATGGCTGAGGGGTGAATACTAAATGCTCTCTTACTGTTTAAGAAAACACTGACACCGGAAAACTAACACCTGCTGAGCAGCCCCATGGCAAACTGCTGTAATCAAGGAGGTTCATTAGAAACCAATCAAAGTTTACCCCCACGTGGAGGCTCAGGACCTACGAAAGGGTTGGAAGGGGCAAGGCTGCAGTTTCTCCAGACCGTGAAGACAGGGAGAAAAACCCAAGCAATAACAAGACAACCAAACACAAAGTAGACAACGCATTCAGCAGACACCGCTAAATGGTTTCCAATTAATTAACTGATTACATGATAGAACAGAAGGGGATTCGAGCGAGGGCTGTTGACCTTTAAGAATAATTAATATCATCAGGATCACAAAACTCGTCCAAG